ATATGTGCATGTGTCTTTTGTTATGTAGGCTGCATTTTCTTTTTTATTTTCTAGTCTGTACAAACAAAATCACTAGGTAAGAAATGTCACTCCCACCTTCTCAGTTGCTGAGAAATGACACACTATATGTGCGTCATTTGTCGCATAATGGGTTTTCCCTTTTATCATAGATTCATTTATTCAAAATGGTTTATCTCTTGAACCATGCATCCAAGTCCCAAACTGTTCACCGTTGGATCTCTTGCATTGAGATCTTCGAAACTAGATCCCATGTTAATAGGTTTCGATGAACTTTTTTCATGAAAAAGTTAGAAACATGACAAAACCAAAAAACTACAAAATAAAATACAAAAACTGAAAAAAATAGGCAACCAAAAAAATGAATGATGAAGAAATGGAAGAAAAACCCGAAGCCTGAAGCGTGGTTTTATTTTCTTCAATTCGGAATGTTTTTTCCTATGGAAGATAATGTCTAATTAGTTGCGAGAAGCAAATTTGTGCTTCTTGTGGAAGCAACATTTTTTTCCTTTTCGAGAAGTACAACTGTGTTTCTCTTGGAAGCAAATACGTGCCTCCGCGAGCAGATAATATGTGCTTCTTGTGGAAGCACATTTTTTTCCGACAAGCCCAGTTGTGCTTCTCGCCGAAGCAATCTGTGGCTTCACGAGAAGCAAATTTGTGCTTTTTATACAAGCATATTTTTTTCCATCTCTAAACAATTGTCCTTCTTGTGAAAGCAAATCTGTGTTGTGCTTTTCGTTGAAACAAATTTGTGGCTTCACAAGACACAAATTTGTGCTTCTCGTGGAAGCACAAAAATCAATTCCACGTGAAAAAATATTCTTGGTTTTTTCTCCAAAACCTTGGGAAAACAGGGAGAAAACAGAAAAAACATTTAAAGCTAAAAAATTGAGTACAGAAAAATGATAAAAACGAAATCCAGAGGAAGTACACAACACGTGTCATGAGGCGGCGGCTAGACACACTACTTCTCCAATGAAACCAAAGGTGACCTGGAGGTCCCCGTAGAAGATAACCTCTAATTAGTTGCTCTCTTTTATACGTTGCTATAGGCACCGTGATTCTTTCCTACGGTTTTGTGTTTGGGCTTGTGATGTTAATTTCGCTTGCATGGGACAGGTTTTGGCCTGTTCTCCTTTTACATTTTCATCACTTATAGTCCCTCCATTCTTAAATATAAGTCTTTTTAAAGATTCTACTACGGACTACCTTACGGAGAAAAATAAGTGAATCTACACTCTAAAACATATCTATATACATCCGTATGTAGTTTGTAATGAAATTTCTAAAATGACTTATATTTAGGAACGAAGGGAGTATTTGTGTATGTGGACTGCCTGTTTGTATCTATGCATGGCCAGGGATTTTTTTTTGTCTGCTATGACATACATGTATGCATTGCACTTTTTTCTTTTCTTTTGTTGTCTCCGTGAATAAGAACATTATACTAAGACAATCCATTCTCGAGGGAATTGTCTTTTTTTTTTCTAGAGGGCTTTAAAAAACACACACAACAGTTTCATGCGCACTTTTATAGACCTACAGCTACTGCAATCGGGGAGGAATGTGAGCCATTTGCATGTCCATTCCAAGACAAACTTGACCCTGCTTCGTTTTTGTCGAGCGCATCCCGGGTCGCGATTTCAGTTGTCAGGACGTTTTTGTTAGGCTTATTTTTTCGGTCTCTGTTTTATTTATTTTTCTTGGCCATTTTTATGGGTTTTGTTGTCATTTTGTAGAAGCGGAAGAGACAGGGTGTCATATCTAAATGGAAGTCTGAAATAAATCTTGAGATTGTAGAGGCCGACATAAACAAACTTTCATCTTTAAATCCCTGAAGTTGATACCCTATATTTACAGATCCCAGTCAATCCTAACCCTATATCAGCATGTTTGGCGTAGTACTAAAGGCGCGATCCCAGCCGGGATCGTTTCTACTGTCACTTGCTATGTGAGCCCATATTTCATACGCATCTTCTTCCCCAATCTCTTCCTCACAAGTGCATGGCCGGTGGATCGATTCTAGCCGCCGGCTAATTGGTGTGTGCAAGTACACCAAACAAACAAACGAACGTGGTGTAGTGTAGAAGGCTTAGCTCGTCCTCGGCCATTGACGCCTCGTTTGTCTGGAGCTGCGCCGCCCCCTCTGACTTGTGGTGCCCGTGCGGCAGCGTCAGTCCATCGATAGCTGTCGGAAGAACCTTGCTACGGCAGCCTCAGAGAGCGGAGCAGCTGCTTGGGCACGCCGTCCAGGCGTCTCTCGAGCTCCTCGCCCGGCCCGTCCAGCCCGCGGACGACAGTGGTGACGAGGGTAACGCCGACGAGAAAGATCGAAAGGGGGGAGAAGGGTGGCGGGGAGAGCGGAGCAGCTGCTTGGGCACGCCATCCAGGCGTCTCTCGAGCTCCTCGCCCGGCCCGTCCAGCCCGCGGACGACGGTGGTGACAAGGGTAACGCCGGCGGCGGCCGAAGAAGTCTTGTTCTTCCCTGAACTTCGTGAGGCGCGCGGTGAGTCTAGCCTGCTTGAAGCAGGCGAGGTACTGTTGGTGCCCTGGTTGACGAAGTCGGCCCATCTCACCAAGGTCGTGGTACTGTTGGTGCCGCTCGCCGGCGCAGCGTACTACTGTGGCTGGTGCTGAGGCCTTCCCAGGCGATTTTTTCGTGCCGGCGCCGAAAAAACGGCCCAGTCGCGCCCCCAGGAGCCCGATTTTCGCCGACTTGGGCCGAAAACAGCGCCGGCGGACCCAGGCCGAACCTGGCGCGCTGGGGGGCGCCCGGGGGCGCCGGGGCGAGCTGTTTTGGCGCGAAAAAGCCACGGGCCAGCCGCGTCAGCGACTCGGCGCCCCGTCTTCCCCCAACGGCCTCGGTTCCCGCGGGGAATCAATGGCAAGGCTGCCGCCGGTCAGCCTTGCCATTGATTCCTCACGGGCGGTGCATCACGGGACGGCGCGCCGACGCCTCCCCTCCGTCGCACGCGTACACACGGGCGCGGCGCGGCTATAAAAGTCGATGGCCTCCACTCGCCTGTGCCCACACCAGCCCCGCCCCTTGCCGCCGTCCAGCCCCTCCCTCTCCCTACCTCTCCCGAGCACCGCCGCCCAGCCCCTCTCTCTACCTCTCCCGAGCCCGCCCAGCCCCGCCGTCGCCATGGCAGAATGCTTCCCCGGAGACGAGGCGGCGGCAAACGGCTTCGGCCGCCGTTCGCTCCGCGAACAGGAGTCTTGGCTCCTGTTCCAGGCGAACATCCAGACGCCGCTAGACATGCGCGCCGGGCCGACGGGGTGGAGACTCAGCGCCGGGGGAGTGCCCATTCCCCCGTTGCCCGACGCCGCGGCGAAGCTGAAGTACTTCGCCGAGGAAGTCGAGGTCGTGCGCGCCTCCCTCACCGACGCGCAACTCTCCCTCCCCCAGTACGCCGCCGACAACCACACGACATGGGCGGCGTATTTCGAGTGCCGCCAGCAGCAGCGCTTGTCGTCCACCAACGGCGCGCCGGTGGTCGGCGGCCGGCAGAACAACGAGGGGCACCATCTGTCGTGGGGCGTCCCCGGCCGCACACTCGAGGGCGTGCTCACGTACCTCGAGGGCGGCAACGACCCGCCGTTGGCGTACCCCCCGGCGAGGGTGGCCGCCCCGGCGCAGCACCGACGCGCCGGGCCGTGGGCGCCAAGGAGGTTCGGGTCCTCCTCCTCCTCTTCCTCCTCCCGATCCTCGTCTCACTCCTCCGGCACTCCGGCCCTGCTCGGCGTCAAGGCCGAGCCCGCGGCGGAGACGCCGCTCGGCCGGCGCACTCGCAGCGCCGGCATCGTCATCAACGAGGGCGGCCGGCGCGCCTCCCCCTCGCCGGCTCCTCCGCGCTTCGTCAAGCCAAAGACAGAGCCGGGGCTGGCGCCGGTGAAGACGGAGCCGGGGCTGGCACCGGTGAAGGCGGAGTTCGAGGACGACGACGCGGCCCTAGAATGGGCGCGTCAGGACTCCATTGCGATGGAGAAGGCGCGCCGGGAGAAGGAGAAGGAGCGCCAGTGCGCCACCCTACGCCGCTTCGAGGAGCGCCGACGCGGACGCGATGAAGGCGGGGTCGTCGTCTTATGCGACAGCGACGACGACGACGACGCGCCGCCGCCAGTCCGCCATGGCGACGCCGGGCAGGGGTCCAGCAGGGGCGCCCGCGTCAAGGAGGAGAAGGCCGCCGCCGACGATGGCGGCGACGACTTCAGCCCCTTTCTTTTTTTTAGATTAGGTTAATGTAATGAAAATGCGCGAATTTCGCCGAAATTTGCCACGTTTGGCCGAAATTTAACTAGTTTTTATCATAACTTCGCCGAACGGTCCTTCTTTTTTTTAATACGCGCCTGGGGGCGGCCCTGGGGGCCGACGGCTGGGAACCGACTCGCCCCCAGGGCCATTTTTTGCGCCGGCTCACCCCGAGGAGGCGCTTTTTGACGCCCCCTAGTGGGCCAACGGCTGGAGATGCCCTAAGCTCACACAAGGTGACACTCTCGTCTTTGCTATGCTCTATGCTACACAGGCATGTTGTGCTCTGTGCTATTGCCATTGATGGATCTGAGGAAACGGAATAGCAGGAGATAGATGGGAACGAGGTAGAATGTCTATGATGCCTTCATCAGCGCCAACAGTGAAAGAAGCACGTTCCCGGGTAGGATTGTGCTTTTCCCGGTGTGCCAAACGTATCTAGGGTTCGAGTAGGCCGGGATCAAAGAAGTCAAGGTACAGACTTCAGAGATTTGAAGGTGAGGGTTCATTTGCGTCGGCCTCTACAACCTTAGGGTTTATTTCAGACTTCACTCGATAATGTTTAATTTTCATTTTAATCAGGACACAAGCATCTTATAAACACAATTACATGACATATTTATTTAGCCATAAAACAACATTAATTGTACAATCTATAAAAAATAAAAAATACACCACATTGGTAAAACAATGCAAGAATCTGGAACAGTAAATATGAGATGACCGTTTAGAAGAGGAGTACCCAAGCAAAGAGCACAGAGGCTATCGCCATGAGCGATAACTGGGAGGGCGCCGGCGCCGCCGTGCCCTCCTCTAGCGTCAGCGTCTCACCGCCGACGTCGTAGATCATGTTGGTGCCCGCCTGCACCATGCTTCCCAGGACAGAGCCGAATGGTACACCTGCCGGCGTCGGCAGCATGGTGAGGCACTGCAGCCCGGTGACGTTGTCCTTGTAGAAGTAGTGCACCGTCGTGAGCTCAATGGCCGGCGCATCCCCGCCGCCGAACACCAGCTTAATCTTCGGGAACGTCAGCGCCGCCACGGACTGCGCGTTGTAGCATAGGTCAAAGGCGCCGCCGGCGAGCGCGGAGCCGTTCACGGGCTCCGACTTGACCTTCCTCACCAAGGCCTGCCTCACCGCATCGTAGGCTGCCGCCTGGAGGAGCGTGACGGGGGAGAGCGTGCTGATCACCACCCCGCCGGAGCTGCCGTCGGCTGCGAGGTCGAACGCCCCCGCGGGAATGCCGCTCAGGGCCACGCCGTCGATCTGTATGGAGGTGAGCTTGACGTAGTAGAAGTTAGGGAACACGGTGCTCCGGAGCATCGGCATGGAGCGGCTGCTTTTGGTCTGCGGCACGGCGGCGTCGCCGAGGAGCACGACGCTCTCGGAGTCGGAACTCCCAGGTTCGTCGGTTGCCAGGAAGTAGGAGAAGCGGGAGATGCCGAGCTGCGACACGAGGGAGAGTGGCCCCCTGTTGAACCCGATGCCGGCGGACTCGCCGTCGAGGGGCACCGTGCTGTTAGCGGCGCTGCACCCCAACAACGCGCGGCCGGCGATGCTCCCCACGCCGACCGTCTCGTTGGCGAGGAAGCCGGTGGTGTTGATCCCCTGCCCGTACATGTAGACGTACCCGCAGCTGGCATTGACGCTGGTGTTGCCGCCACCGCAGGCATCGGTGGTGTTGGTCACGCTCCGGCACGTCTGGCTGCCGCATGGGACGCTGAGCGGCGCTGCCGGGCACTGCGTGGTCCAGACGAAGTCATTGAGGACGTCCACAACGCCGGAGACGTTGTTCTGCTGCGTCGCCGTCGCCGTCGCCCCGATGGAGACGTTGTAGAGGACGACGTAGCCGGCGTTGTCGGCGGCCGCTCTACCCAGCTGGTCGCCGTTGCGGCTGCCGCGTCGCTTCTTGATCAGCGCAGTCGTGCCCGACTTGGCCGCCTTTTTGAACAAGAAGGTGTACACCTGCTTGAAGGCCCCCGGAGAGATCCTCGCCGGCGCCGCCGCAGCAGGCACCGGCGACAGGACTAGTACCTGGAGCATAAGTAGCCAAGCTACCAGCGTGACGGCCACTGCGCTGCTCCTTCTTGGCGCCATATTTTTCTGCTGTGATGTGAAGATATATTTGTGTACCTCCAGCCCGACTGCATGTCTCTATATATACTATGTATACCGGTCGCCGGCGTCGATCGCCATCTCAAGGTCAAGGCCATCAATACCACCTACGGCCGCGTCTGGAATCGCTTCATATAAGACCAAGTCAGATCAACTTAATCCAGCAGCCCAAACCGCAGAAACCCAAAATTAAGCGCTAGGATCCAAACCCTAGCAGCCAGAGGTTTGAGACCATGGACAAAAAACCATGTGAAGGTGCGTACCTAAACACGCTGCTAATTCCCATCATTGGTCGTATAGGGAAGAATATGACAATTTAGCTGCAGGTTTGGTGTGACAATTAAGAACGTGGTCAGTATTAGAGACCTACTATATCTAAACGCTGCACCCGAATTTGAGATGGTCGTATTCAGTTGCTTATTATCTTGTAGAGTTTCTTGGTAGCTTCCATGACTGCATGCACTAGCTAGATGAATGGAACCAGACTACCATATCGTCTAAAAACCTAAAATCTGGTACCACGCTAACCAATGAGCCTGACTCTTGCAAAGGCGAGAACATGTGTCCCGGCACGCCGCACTTGACGGAGGAGTGACGACACTGCATCGTTTGCGAGTATCACCTGATGACAGTCAGGCTAGTTGTAATGGGGAGTATCATATACTAATATCATGCATATGATACTAGTCTATAATACTACATCTCTAATGCATAGTATCATAAGTTGGTATCATAGAGGATTACATTTATTATCATGCATGACACAAAGTAACACATCATTTAATATGATACAGTATCATGATATGATACTCAAGCCTCTCTTTCTTCATTTAATTCTATGCCACCTCATCAAACTTGCTTAGTTGGCATGCATGATACTACCTATGATACTCCCATTACAGGCAGCCTCAGCAAAATAGTGGCCTTGTTAGCGTTGTTTGTTGGGATACACATAGCAGGTAGGCCCACGAAGGGTCAAAGTGTCATAAAGCATGGGGCTCATGCGACAGATGGTTCCAGATCAATTCCATGTCATACATGAAGCTACTCAGATGATATGTATGTCAACAACTCAACATTACTCGGATGACGTCTATGCCAACATCACTTGGACAATCAACATACCATCCACTCGGGAGACCATCGACTCACTCGGACGTATGAAGACCAATAGTCAACGTGGCGGTTTCGTAGTGGGCTGATATTATGGCATTGATGCTCCACCTTGTAGCATAAGAGGTGAGGGGTGGCGTACTCTATATAAGCCACCCCCACCACTAGACTTAGGGGCAAGCCCTCATTCTTCTCCCATGGTCTCACGCCATTAGTTTCAGGACTTAGCTCAGGCATGGAGATCCATTCTTCTCTCTCACACACCCATATTGTAATCTTCGGATACATACTCAGCTAAAAGAAAGGCTCTTCGGAGCACGAGACGTAGGGTTGTTATCTCCACCATGAGAGGCCCGAACTCGCTAAAACACGGTGTCACCCATATGCATCTCGGTAGATCATGCTCCTTTACCCTACCCCTTTGTATTGTCGGAATTGTTCCCACGACTCTGTTCATCTTTCGAGCATCTCTAACAACCTTTATATATTGGATTGCTAAAAACCGGTGATATAAAAAAGAGAGAAAGGGTTTAAAAAAGCCAACATGTTCTTTGCTTTGATAGCCTTTGTATATTGGATTGCTATATTTGCACAAAGCACACAATGACATGTGGGTACAGTTCGTCATAGACACATCACACACTAGCATACGTACATCTATACGTATACTAGCACAATTCGTCTACACATATACATGCACACATGCGGCACACACGCACGCACGCAGCACGCAGACACATAACATCACACACTGGCCCATTGTCATTGAGACAAAAATACGAAAGGGGCACTTTTACAGAGGCTTGCTAAAAAGTTAGCAAGTGGTCTTTGGATTTGCAAATAGGCAAAATGGGATGCTAGGTAGCAAGCTTTGTAAAAATTTGATGGGGACCACTTATACAAAGGTTGTTCGACGATATTATTTTGGCCAAGATTGCTAAAATAGCAATTGAGTGCAAATAAAAAGGCTGTTAGAGATGCTCTTAGGCCGCACTCGACAGACGTTTTATATTTTCATTTTCCCCTATAGTATAATGTTTGTCGAGTGCCAAATAATTTTTTTTTGTTTCATTATGTATTTTTTTTGTTCTTCTTCTTTTCTTTCTTTTATTTTATTTTCTCTCTTTTCCACCATTTCTCTCCCGTCACTTTTTCCTCACCCGTTCTCTCTGACCACATTTCCCCCGCTTTGCCT